TATGTATATCTCCATGCTAAGCAATGTAATACTGAAAAGATGATCGTACAGCATGTGTACTTCTGTTCTTAAATCATTTAATTGAGATTTTATTGAAAGATAAAGAAAAGAACTGGCGGTATGGTGCTTCTAAATGTATAGGTTTGGGTAGAACCACCATCAGAGACAGATGGAATGCTCAGCAGTAAATAAAAACCCAGATCTCAAACACACGGCAAGCTCCCCCTAAGAGAAATAAATAACAGGCTGTCTATAGAAATGACAAAGAAAATATTCTAAGAAACAGTGGTGAAAAATGCAGCATTTCTTTACATGCTGGCAAAGAGAACACAACCTTGCAACATATTTAAGAGTCTCTTCTTGGGACAAAATCATTCTAAACCCTTTGAACCAATGGAGTCTATATATCTAATAGCAAAATGTGGCCTCCATCTGCGAATATTTAAATCTGTAGATCAAGGCCACGTTGGCATTAAACAGATTTTCCTGCAAACTTGGGCGGATCCCCCCAGTTCACTAGTTAAGGTCTGCCTTATAAGTCCTCCTCTTTATGCTCCTGCCTTCAGAGGTGTGGTGACAGCCAGAGACAGGGCTTTTTTAGTGGTGGCACTTTGCCTACGGAATGCCCTTTCCTTTGAGGCTCATCTGGCACCTACATTGCATTCTTTTAGATGCCAGGCCAAACTGTTTCTGTTCACCCAGGTTTTTAAATAAGGGGTTGATGTTTCACCACCTTGTTACTTATTTATTTTAGTCTGGAAAGTGATATTAATTTTTTAAAGCAGCTTACTTATCTATGCTATTGTGTTCTGGTTGGTTAGTTTGTGCTGGGGTTTAACTAAGAATTTTAACAGTTTATTCTGTAAGCTGTTTCAAGCAGGTTCCCTATAAAGGAGGCATACAAATCCTCTAAAGAAATAAATGGCACTTAAATGCTTTTACAGGTAAGGCTCTCACACGTTCTCTGTGCACACCAAAATTTGCAGCTATGTCAAGGTTTTCCCATGACTTTCTGAGCAACTTGTAAATGACTTTTACAAGTTTGGCTGTGGACCACTGGCAACTTTTGATGAATTAGCAATGCTGTATGAATATGAATCATTTTCCTGC